GAATATTCTGAAATAAAACATGTTTATCCAAAAACATTATTTAAAACACATTTTCCGGAAAAATATTACATCTAGACGTTTTCCGAAATGATGAGATTATATTTTAAAATAAACATGTTTTCCGGAAAAGTTTTTACGGGATTTGTATTCCAGAATGTACAGAGGATTAGAAATTAACCGGGCATACTATTCATGCCATAACCTTATTCAAATTCAAAGTAATGAAATTAAATCAAGCTTATATGATAGAGAATTAAACAAGGAACAGATATAATCAAAAAATTTCTAAGTGCCCACCCTTAACTTCGACACAGGGTTGAAGATGCGTGAAAAAATTTGGGTAAAGTTCTATTTGAAATACATTTCCTAATATAAACACACCCTCGAGAGGATCAAAAAAATAGAAGCACATGTGGTTTTATTAAAACATTTACGGTAATTTATATTCAGGAAACTTTATTTAAAAATTGTTTTCTGGAGGTTATGTTTGTAGGATATAGGTGTATGTATTTGTATTAATTTCTATTTATATTCCGGAATTTGTAGCAAAAAAATGTGTATTATTACAAATTATATCTTCCGGAAAAGTTTTTTGAGGACTCGGGAAATCATAAAATAAACTAACCGGAACGGAACGAATTAAAAAAAGTTTGTAAAAAGGATTGTGAAACTCTTTACTTCCAATAATTGTAATTATTTCAATTAAATAAAGAATTATTGAAGGAAGACTAATTACAATTGCAAAATAAATAAATTGAATTCTTAAAGAAGAGAGCCAAACAAAAAATTGGATTGTCATTAAAAATTAGTTTTTACTTACTTATTTAAGTAAAAGAAAAAAATTTTTATTTAAAAATTTTTATAAAAAATTTTAAATACTTATAATTAGGGCTCCCATTTATATGGATATAAAATCAAAAAATATGGACATAAAATATGGATATAAAATCCTGAAATATGGATATAAATATGGAAATAAACACTAAATATGGATATAAAATTCAGAAATATGGATAAAAAATAGTGAAAAGATATTTTTAAAATCAGTATTTTATGTAGAAAACAATTATTTTGCCTTTATCCTTGCATTATAAGAACGTTCTAAATGAATTTATGGATTTAAAATTTTTGTTAAATTTTTTTGAAAATAAATTTTTCCGAAAAATTTTCGAAAAAATTTTTTAACCAAAAATTTTGAAAATTTTCGCCAATTTTTACTAAAATTTACCAAAAAATGACCAAATCTGGACCAAAATATTCAAAAAAGGCGAAATATTGATATAAAATATGGAAATAAAGGCTAAATATGGAAAAATATGGAAAATATGGGCATGATGCCAAAATATGGAAAAATATGGAAAATATGGATTATAAAGACCATTCTAGAAACCTTAAAACAAGCCAAAAACATGTTTTTCGTACTTTCATAGTCATAGGAATTCAGGAAAAAAATATGGATTTCCATATAAATGGGAGCCCTACTTATAATATTTATTAAATAAATATTCTCCAATTAATTAAATATTTATTCACCTTTCATTTTACGTAAATATTTGCTTTATTAAATGGCAATTATTTAATAAGCATGTCCTTTTAAATGCAGGTGATAATTTTAATTTAATCTAACAACTTTTTAATAAAATTTATTGCAAATTATTAAAGTCAAAGGGAGAAAGTAAGTTGGGGGACGAAATTCAAAATTACCAAATCTTTTTGTTTATAAGAATGTTTATCTTAATTTTTGGCTTTCATTTTATCTTAAAAATCAGTTTTAAAATTTTAGTTTTGCTGATAAACATTTTTAATTTTTTTTAATATTCTCCAATGTAAATTTCATAAAAATATTTTTATTTTTCGACTTTTTTAAATTTATTTTCCTTTTCAAACTTAAGTTTTATACTTATTTTAATTTTCCTTCATTTTCCTCAAGAAAACTACAATTTTCTGATTTCAAATAATAAATCTCGTTTTTTTGCATTTTCCCTATTTTCCTTTATTTCCGGCAACTCAGAGGATTACAAATTATGTATTCTTCCCCAATTTTCTCTACTATTTAAAAATTAACCTTAACTATAAAAGGCATTATTCCATTTATAAGGAAAAAATCAGACTTATGTAATTAGGCAATGAGTAAAAAGAAACAAAAATTGACCTTATAAAGAAAAAATTCTTCTTCCAACATTCATTTGCCATTTAATTTTTGTTTTAGATTTCCGATAATTAAATTTTAAATAATTTTACTTCATGTTTTCTCATTTATCAGTCTATTTTTTATTTATTCAACGGAATTTCATAGGAGGGTGTCATTATTTACAGCCGTTTTAAGGGTAACTCTTGACACCTCAATCAGGGTGGCCCTTTGCCTTATTTACAGGGAATTTGCCATATTTTTGACATATTCGCCCTATTTTTCCCTATCTTCATTTGCTATATTTTTGTCATTTTTTACCATTTTTAATAAATTTTTACAATTTTTTTATTTCGTAAATGAAATGGCTGGAAGTGGAAGAAATCTGACCGTTAACCTTCCAAAATTCTCAAAATTTTCGTCTGCGGGCCTAATTATAAATTAAAAAATTTAGAGTTTAAATGTACCCAGGCATATGTCTCTTTATTTCTGATACTGATTTGCTCAATTTAGAAAAGCTTTTGAAAAATTTGCTTAATAAAACTTTTTATTTGAAATTTTAATTATGTTTAAGCTTTTAAATTATGCCCTAAGTTTTGCACTATTTTAGTGTTTTGGAAAGGGTCAAAATTGTAGTCATTAGCAATATATGTATTTTGGGCTCATATTTTTGTTGGATAATTATTTTAATTTTTCTTTCAAGTTTTTTTCCTTCTCTGCATGTTAATGCCCGTTTATCTATTTTTAAATATTTTTGAACACATTTTAAATAATATAACTTTTTGGCATTTTTTTCAGTTAATTCTAAGTGCTTTATTAAATATCAAACGATGTCTCTTCTACCACCTTAGGTTCAACTTGATATTTTTAAATTCCCCAGTTATGAAGAATTATTTTCAATTAAACAAACAAATTTATATTTCCATTATTTTATTAATAAATATGAAAAATTTGAGAGGAATTTTGTGAAATTTATATTATACATAACATTTTTTAATTAATTAAAAAAATTTTTCTCTTAAAAATGATACTGATCAATTCAAAGAGTGCCCTCATAAATTAATTAAAACAAAAGCTAGAAATTTTGACTTTACAATGAATGAACAATTTGAAAAGAAGGTAAAGTAAAACACTGCCACAAGCTATAATTAGTTAAAGATTTTTTAATGGAGTAATGGACAAGACAACGTCATTTTCTTACCTAAAAGTTAATCTTTTCAGTTTTTAAAAAAAGGCTCATAGAAATTATTTATTGGTACATTTTTTTATTTGATCCGGTCTCCAGTTGGTGTGCCATCTGCCTTAAGTCCCAACTTTAGAAAATTTTCATTCGTTACAGGGGCGTTGTCACCAAAACTATTCACGATACCCTCTGTCACCACATAAGCTTCCTTAATATTTTTCGATTCGGTTCCGGTTAATGATATCCAAAGGCTACACAGGTATCCAAATATCCAAAGGCTACTCAATATTTATTTTTAAAAATTTTTTCAGATAAAGACGAAAAAAAAAACATTAGTTTATAACAAAAACAAAGATGACATGAAAATTATTATTTAAATAAATTATTTAAATGTTCTTTTGAATATGGAACTTTTAATCAATTTATTAATTGAATTATTTTTTACTAATGCCAATGTTCACGGGTAATTTAATGCAAAAAATCATACTTAATGCGTACCAAAGCTTATGTAGACTGAAAAATTTCTTAGTAATTTAAGATCCATAGATATTTTACTGTTTAATTTCTGGTTTTCCATGAAACGGTTGAAGGAGAAAACATAGGCCAATCTGCTCGTACTATAAGAACGTGGTTTTTGTCATTTGACCGATTACCAGACGTGCTTTTGCTGCTAAAAGGAAAACTTCTGGGTTTTAATCAAAGCCCAGCTCATTATGGTCATTTGACCTGTGGTTAACCAGTACTATATGAAAAACACTTTTTGGTCATTTAACCCCTACGAGTGATAAATCTCAGACCCTGTTTTCATTGTCTCATCAGTCTCGAAATGATTTGGAAACCGACATCCTATTTCAATAATTCTTAGTAGAAGTTGACAAGGACTAAAAACAGGATCACATTTCAATAATTCTTAAAATATTAAAAAAAATTTTCATCTTCCCCCGCCCATATTTAAAAACTAATAATTTGTGTTTCTTTATTTTCATTATTCGAAAATAGGTGTGGTAAGTTGATGTAAATATTTTTTGAAATAGCGAAATTACCATAAAGAGAACCCATAAAAATTAATGCAGTTTTATTTATTCAGTCAGATGACATCTTTTTTTCAGCTCAAATAAAATAAACTCCGCCTTTTTCCTAACTTTATTTTCCATTTTAATCGGTGCTGTAAGAACAGAAAACATTTAAGTGTTCGCTTTTTTTACTTTAGCTGGCAGATTCTTTTTTCTTAAAAATTCTTTTTAACCTGTTACTTGTGGCCATTTAAGTGAGACTATTTTTCTCAATTTCTTTCGCTATCTTTATGCTTGCCATTTTTATAAGGAAAGACATATTTGATGTGGCAACTTTTCGAATCTTTATCGCTGTCGCATCCTGCGAATTACTCATTTAATTAAACTTATGAAATTACGAAATCTGTTAATCACTGAAATTCTTTATTCACTTTCTCACACAAACTTATTACAAAATACTTTCCTGTAAATCAACCGCTATAAAAATAGCTGGCTTTTCCCCCGTTTTATCTATCTCAGCGGTCATTAAGCTCTCTTTGGATCACAATCTGTCCCTTTTATTATAAAAATATTATGCTTTTTCCCTTGTTAAATTAATTGTAGTTTTCATTGCGAAATAAATAAATTATTAAACGTTGTATTAATTAATTAGGAGTCCCGAAATTATAGGACCATTTCCTACAGCTCAGCCGGTTCGAAAACCCGAAAAATGTCAGCACCTTTCCGCAATGCATTGCGGCTCCTCGCCGAGGACGCTACCGAAATTTTAAATAATAAAAAAGAATTTAATCTCCCCGAACAAATAGGGAGCATTTCCCTCCACCGTGCAAACATTCGCTCCCTCATTACATCCCTCGAATTAGAATTAGGACATGTATCCGAAACAATTACAGATATAACCTCAGCCCATGAAAAATGGATGAGCATTCGTACCAGTATGACAGGCGCAGAGCGCCAAGCCGACACCCCAATATACGAAGCATTTACTACAGAAACCCCATTCCTTAATAAACTCAGAGATTTAAAAAGATATTCCCGTAAACTCCTTTCCGAAAAGGCTAAATTAACAGAAGCTCTTCCCGACCCCTCCCAAATCACAAATACACATTTTCATCTCCCGAAGCTCTCACTCCCCAAATTTAATGGAAAATGTGTTGAATTTACTTCCTTTTGGAACTCATTTAAAGTTGGTGTCCACGACATTCCAGATCTTTCCGATGCCGTTAAATTTAATTATCTCAAGGAATGTTTAGATGGACCCGCATATTTACTGATAAAATCCCTTCCTTTAACCAATGCTTCTTATCATGAGGCAATCCGACTTCTAAGAGAAAATTATGGAAATTCCGATGAAATAAATAGGACCCTTCTCCATTCAATAAGAAAATTGCCTACAGTACATTCAAATAATGGTCCCGAAAATCTTTGTATGGAACTACGATCATTCGTAGACAAATTTGAATTATTATATTTACAAATGATTGAACAGGAATTTGATATCAACACGCTTTCCATCCAAATGGAATTAGAATCGAAACTCCCACCTCCTATTCTTGAAGAAATATTTAAAGCTAAGGAAGAAAATGGAGCAAACTGGCAGACCGATCAATTACGGACAACATTAAAACAAATACTGAAAAGAAAGGAAGGAATAAAAGCTCTAGACGACCAAAAGAATGAGCTAAACGAGCAGATAAGTCACCCTTGTACTCCAAAATCACCCCGACCCGTTAGACAGACTAGCCCACCTAACACACCACAATCCTCCCTAACATTTCATACATCTCAACAAAACAATAAAACAGGGAGGTTTAGATTCCCCTGTATTTTCTGTAACCAACCCGACCATTTATCCCACCATTGCTCTAACTATAATTCAATCCATTCTCGAAAATCCCGCTTATATGAGAAAAATTTATGTTTTAATTGTTATAAGCCCAACCATATTTCGAGGAGTTGTCAAAGACCAATTACTTGTTCCCATTGTAATAACTTACATCCCAGAGCACTTTGCTCGAAATTATTTAATCCACAAATTAATGAACCCTGTATAGATGAAGATTATAATGAAGAAACCATTATATCCCCACAAGAAATTCCCAAGCAACATACAATTAATCACTCACAAATAATGCCAATTACACCCCCACCTATAGCTCCAATCCCTTTATCGTTAATAAAATTGCCGGATAAATTTTATACCGCCAAGTCCTTTAATAATTCCTCAAAAACCGAAACCAAATCAGGCCACTTAAATAAAAAAGGCGAAAATAAATCCTTACTGCTCGAAGAGCCACAATTAATCAATCACTCAATTAAATCTTTCACACAACTATACAGCAATCAAAATCACTTACCAATCCCCGATCCCACGACTCCCACTCCCGCAAATATAATAAATCAAAAACACGGTCCACTGAAGACCAGTGAAAATAATAGGTTAGAAATAAAAATTTCAGTTCCCACAGATAATGTCCGCAGCAGGAAAGGACTAAATAAATCTTCAGGCCCCCCAGGTGATGTTCCATCAGACAAATCTTCAAGTCCGACTCCCCCCACAACAAAATTGGACTCCCATGATCTATTAACTTCCCCGCCTGCTGCTACCGACAAACACCGATCAAAAAATATTCCGTCTACAAAACCACAACCGCATGCTCCTTTGAAATTGAAAAAGAATTTGGATCCTCTCCCGCCTCCGCCCAGCCCTCCAATCAAGCTTACAAGCAGCCGTGTTCAAGTGCTTCCTTTTGGTTTTGTTGAACATCTCCCAGCCTCAAACATCACAAAAAATCAATTGTCCAAATTTCAGATGAACAAGAAAATTAAGAAAAGAAATATTTCACACATTCCAAGATTAAACTCAATTAAATTTATGGTCCCCCCTCTCATAGTTCTTAAGCCACACATTACAACTACTTATAACAATGTAAATCCAAATTGGCCCATTCTTAATCTTCTTCCTTTATTCAACATCCAGCCAATATTTTGTTATCTCCCATTATTCAATATCCAACCCATTCACTCAATGTTTGCCGCGGGAGTGTCGCATCCTGCGAATTACTCATTTAATTAAACTTATGAAATTACGAAATCTGTTAATCACTGAAATTCTTTATTCACTTTCTCACACAAACTTATTACAAAATACTTTCCTGTAAATCAACCGCTATAAAAATAGCTGGCTTTTCCCCCGTTTTATCTATCTCAGCGGTCATTAAGCTCTCTTTGGATCACAATCTGTCCCTTTTATTATAAAAATATTATGCTTTTTCCCTTGTTAAATTAATTGTAGTTTTCATTGCGAAATAAATAAATTATTAAACGTTGTATTAATTAATTAGGAGTCCCGAAATTATAGGACCATTTCCTACATCGCGAAAAAACTTCGATTCTTTTTTCTCTAAAAATTCGTTGTAACCTCATTTAGCTTTATTCGCCTCATTACATTTCGCCTCATTTTGCCACTTTACAATTTTATATATTATTATTTAGTCTTGAAATCTTGAATAATTTAGTCTGGAAAATAAAATTTATTTCCGATTTCTGGCTCTTCCGATTTCCTTCACATCTGACTGTTCCGACCAACCTTTGATAGGAACTTGCTTCGTGGTTAGCTAGAAGAAAAATAGCCAAGCCTACTATAGTACTAAATTACCGCTCTGTAAGTGTTAAATGACGGTGACAGATAACCAGATTCTTATACCAAATTTACTTCTCGTTCTTATAGTACGGGCATTAGAGTACGGCTTTCGGGTATGGGAATTTTTATTTTAAGACTTATTTAATGGTATTTTTACTTTAATGTGTGGATCGCGTTTAGTCGAAATGTGTTTGTCTCTACACATCCGGAAATACTTATATTTTAATAGAGTGAACCACCTTTACGGCATTCCTTCCTGAAAGTAAATATGTATGTGGGTTTTAGATAGTTTTCCGGAACAAAGCTGGTTAAAGTATATCATCGTGTTTAAATAATGCCTTTTTCAAAACTTTTTTGGCGTTTTGTTTTTGTTGATATTTTGTCCAAAATGTTATTATAAAAGCACAAAATATTTATTCATATAGGATTTTAACCTCTCAGAAGCGAAAATATTTCTTGGATGTGTTGAAAAAAATTTATAGATTTTTAAGTTTTTTTATTTTTAGAGGCTATCAATTTAAAATTTTAAAATGGAAGACGCCGTAAATGAAGTTGAATCAGATGCAAGTGATTATGAGGACTCTGATTGTTTATCTGAATATAGTGATACTTGTTAAAACTTTTTATTTTCAATTTGGGTTTCCAATTATTAAGTCTTTCAAGTCCCCTTTAAGAACTCTTATAAACTCGGAAATGAGTAGCTGTGGCTCGTATCTTTTCGTATTTAACTTTGAAAACTATAAATGTATAATTTTGAACTAAGAGGGAATCGAATCCTCTTTCAGATTTAAAAACAGTCAAAACTAATCAACTTTTCTTTATCAAATTTATTTTTAGAAAGTGCTAAATTTCAAAAAACGAGGAGGCTTCAACATCTTCCTTATCAATTAGATTTGGAGGTTGAGGCAAACAATTACTTTATACAAGTTAAATCAAGCCTGGGGCACTCAGTTAAGATGCGTGATTTACCTGGCTTACTTTATTGGATTCGCGAATTAGAAAGGTTTTGAATAAATTTAATTTTGGTTCCTTCGCCCCTTTTCAACCCCCTTTTAGTTTTTTATACTTTTTAATTCAAATAGACTTGGAATAGAACCTATTAAGAATATTTTCGAATAATTCATTTTTTCAACAGGTTCATTAGCCTGTATTCCTTTCGATTTTCCAAAGTGGATCATGTCCACATGATTGAACTTTTTTATAATGTCTTAACAATGAAAAATTTGGAGTTAAAAGCAGTTAAAATTCTTTGCCAGTCAATGTCAAGGCTTTTGTCGTAAATATATTTTTTTAAATATTTTTAATTGGGGGGTTTGGATTAGTTAGGAACGGGCCCGGGACCAGTTTCCCGGTTTCCGGGTCCTTTTTCCGGTTTTTAAGCAACCGGGAACGGGTCTTCCCGGTTCCCCGGACCCGATTCATGCTTTTTCAGAACCCGTTTTCCGGACCCGGTCCCGGTTTTTTCAAAATTCCTAACTAGAGTTTGGATATCGCTTGAGGTCCTCTCAGAATTCATTATAAGTTAACGTGTTTTTTTATAAGAGTAAAAAACACTTAAATACTGACACTTAGGAATATTATTAGTTTGAATAACCCAACCATTATCGAGTGAAAATGCGAGTTATTTTTTCGGGCAAATCTTACGGGCTTATATTTTGGTACCAAAAGAGCTAATATACTATCATGATTTTTGAGCTTTTTAAACATTCAAAAACGATACATTTTAGTAAAGAAACATTGGTCTTACGATGTGATCTTCAATTTGATTGGCGTCCATTATATGATTTATATGTCAGGGTGTTTTTCAAAAATTTTGATGAGGTTTTTTGAGTTTATTTTGACTTTGAATTATTTTTTGTTATTTAGGATGCAGTCTCTGACAACTTAAAAAAAATTCTCGAGACAACAATTGTTGAGTGCACAAGATTTTTTACTGATTCAGCTACTAAGGAAATTCTTGCTGAGGTTATTGCTTTTTAAATTTATTTTTTAGGGGTATTTTTGAGGATTCTTTGTCCCAATAAACTTTTCGACAATCATTGTTTTTTAAAATTTTTTTTGAGTAATATCAATTTTGAAAGAAATTTTTAAATATTTATGAACGCGGGAGTGTTAGAAAAAATACCTTTTTTACTCTGCTTATTTAAATATAATTTGCTCCCGAGTTGGAAAATGCGAAATCTCAGCATTCAAAGGAATTAAAAATTAATTTAATAAATCTTTTTCAAGGTCCGACCTTATTTTTGTTTATGGGATGAGCACTTTTTGAAGAGGATGAAACTTGTGTGTATCTTCCTCCCAGTTTGTTTAACAAAAGAAGAAAATGATAGATTTGGAGCAAAACTATGGATTGATGAAATGTTATACTTTTTAAACAAAACAGAAACCTCGGAACAATTAAATATTTTGCTTCTATTTGCGAGGTTTTCCTTAATCTTTGGGATTAATTATCTAATAGAGATCGAGATTTTTGAAAAGCCTGGACCTGTTCCTGTACTCTGGAGTTTAATTTCTTGAACTGGACTGGATCCTGGGCCTGTAATTTAGGAAAAACCTATAAAGGTCAAAAAATACCTGGACTCTGGATACAGGAAAACCCAGGTCTTGATCCAGGTCCAGCTTGATCTCTATTATCTAAAGTTGAAAATGTGGATTTTAATTATTTTTTATAGACTGGCCAAAGACTGTCCTGGCTATTTGGACTTCTCACCTTACTTTCACCAATTGTTCACGATTTTAATGTCTTTTTTTCAAATTGAAATTGGCGTTGATAAATTAG